AATAAAATAAATAAAATAAAAATTATACCTAAAGTTTTGAACTTAGGTCGAAACTAAGAAAAGCTGCTCGACTCGACCGAACTAGTGGAATAACTTGGTTCGCGCCTCGAGCAGTGCTCAATAGGTGACAAAATTTGAGTTAAACGCTATGGGTCGGTCAGATCGGATTGACGCTGGAAATTGGAATCGGTTGTCGAATTGAAAATATCGTCAAAATCTAAGAGGTATCGTCGAAATCTTTATTGAGAACTTCAATGTTTTTGGAGTTGTAATTTGAAAATTTATCGAAACCTAAAATCTAGCTGAAAAATTTGCTTTAGAACTAGACAAAGCTAACATTGAGGTTGAACTACTTAAAACTTTTTTACTTTCAAATTGTTCTCTATTTATTGTTGTGTCTTGATTGTGTAAACTTGTAGGTATTTATAGGAGCCTAGTCCCAACTTGATAGGAATTCTAGGGTTGATTAAAGATTAAAATTCTTTATATCTAAGAACAAAACTTTGAATTAATCTCTAAAAAAGCCAATTAAAACCTTCTAAAATTCACATGAATTATCAATCAAGAAAATGCCAACAAACTTTTTATTTTATTTTTTATAAAGATAAACAATAAAAATGAGATAAAATAAAATAAAGATAAATAGATAAATAATAAGATAAAAATAAGATAAATAAATATAAATAATAATAATAAATACAATTATAAATAAATATAAAATAAAATAAAATTAAAAAAATTAGACATTCAACTTTAAACTAGAACTCAATTATTTAAACTCCAAATTAATTAGGGTGTCTACAACAACAATGAAACTTGAAAGGGGAATCCCGTCCTTTGTCTTTCGTGAAAATCATTCCTTCAATTACAGGGTAATGACCCATTAAAATGTAAAATGAGGAAAATTTGTCCAAACATCTCATTCCAACTTGCCTTGATGATATTCTGGCAACCCATCCGGCGAAACAAGTCACGAAGGTGACTAATGTAACCAGTGGAGCACGAACTATGGTTGATGCTTGGAAACTAAATATCCACATTGGTAGAATGTGATTTGTTAAAATTTTGATAACCTCAAAGTATAAAAGAAAAAAAATTATTTGTCGCCACGAAATTAGCTTTTCTCAAGCCAAAACACTTCAAAACAGCGTTGAAACTTCCAATGGTATAAGATGTAATTGACTTTATTATCCAAATCCTTTGTTCATTCCACCATGTGCTGATTGGATCACCAGTTCGCAGAACTTCCTCCATTTTTTCAATTTTGACATGACAAAAATGTATGACAAGACCATAAACCATGAACTTGAAACCTGTATAATTAAGAAGAGAAAGAAAATTTAGAGTAAATTGTAGTATACACGTGATTTTATTTCATCCATGATCTATAAAATTCAATTTTTAAATTTATGACCTTTAAAAAAAATTTCAAATTTATCCATTTTTATCCACTGTTGCTAAAATATGAAGGAATTAGCTTTTTAACTCTGTATAATGCACGAGATTTTTTTATTATATTTTTCATAATTTTAGATTTATTTTTTACTTAATTTTAATTTTTTATATTTTCTTAATAAAAAATATACAATTTTTTATTGATCTACTATATATAATCATACATTCATAAATACTAAACTACAATTAAATGACAATCTCCACATAATATATTATAAATAATACTCTTCATCTAAAAGAAATCTAAACTTTTGTCAATTTCCAAGAAATAAAAAAAATCATATTTTTTCATAAAAAAAAACATTTTCTTCAATTCATTTGCTAAACATTAAAAATTTTGCTACTGCTTCTTTTGATAAAATACTAAGAATCAAATTTTAAATAGTTAAGATTAATAATTACTTTTATGATAATATTGATATGGATATATATATATATATATATGTATGTATGTATATCATTTGACTAAATTGTGAAAGACATTTTATATTAGTAGAATATTCCTAAACTATTGAATCATAATATTTTATAATTTCTTACATATATTTACGTATATAATTAAAGAACAAATCATAATTATTAATTTGATCATAACCATTTGCTTTTTATTAATTCTTATTTTTGACTTACTTTTTATTAGTTCTTATTTTTGACAAACTTCAAGTAATTATATATTACACAAATTTATTGGCCTAACAATTATTTCTATGTCAACAAAGTAAAGTTATTTTTGTAGATAAAAGGGAAATAATGATCCTTTTAATGTTATGCTTAAAAACATATCATTTTTTAAAAATATTATTTATTTTTAATCATTTTTAACATAATTGATAGAGTATTTTTGGTGAGTCATATAGTAGTGATTATCATTCTTCTCATATCTCATTCATTGTAAACAAAGAAAATCAATACTAAAAAAAATGCTGCAAAAGGAAATTGAAAATATAAATTACATATGAATTTATCAATATTAAAATTATACAATAATAAGAGTAAATATGTTAATGAATTTGTTGAAAATAAAAACATTAAAGAAATGAATAAAACAAAAAAATATAATATGAAAAGTTAATTATAATCAATTTGAACAAAATTAAAAAAGTAATGGACTAAAGAGAAACAAATAAATTAATGAAATATATAATATAAAAATATTTGAATTAGAACATAAATAAAACATTCTATTTGTTCCCAAAAACAAACTTATACTTTTATTTAACTTTTTTTGTAACATTCAAATGTCTTATTTTTTCATATAAAGATGTAAACTCTTATTACTTTAGTAGTACATGATTTCTAGTTAATAATTTATTAACTCAGAATCAACCATCATATAAGTTTTAAATAAGTCCTAATACGTTTTAAGTAAGTCCTAATACTCGGCCAATTCAAATTCAAATTTATTTTCCTTTACTTAATTATTAATTTCAATATAAACTATACTTTGAGGAGTAATAAAGGTAGAAAATAGATTTACTTGTTCATGAGTATAATGTGGTTTCCACTTTTTTTTAGCTTTTGCCAATTCTTATCAAAACCAATAAACCATAATCGCCAAATAAAGAAAAACTTTTCTTCAATTTCTAATTCTAATAATAATAAATAAAATAATTTTGACTTGAATTGGATGGTCTCCTTTCTACTCTTTATTTTCATTCTCAAATTCTAATTTCAATAGATAATAATTTAGTAAGCGCATATATATATATATATATATATATATATATATATATATATGGAATCATGATTAAATTGAAAAAATGATAAATTAAGATTTAATATATTTGAATTTAAAATTTATGCTAAATTTTTAATTTTTGATAGATTTTGATTTGAATTTAAATAATTATTCAAAAATATTAAATTTAAATTATTTATTAAATAGAAGTATTTGGCAAAAATAAAAATTTATTAAGTATATATATTTTAAACTGTAATTAAATTTAAAAAAAAAAGATAAATTATGATTTAATATATTTGAATTAAAAATTTATGCAAAATTTTTAATTTGGAATAGATTTTGATTTGAATTTAAATAATTATCCTCAATATTAAATTTAAATAATTTATGAAAGAAATTTATTTGATAAATAAAATAATATAAGTATTATTCTACATGTCCTTAAAAGAGACTATCTACTTAAGCATCCACATAATTAATTTTTATCATATAATTTTTATATGTTATAATATAAAATATATTAGATTTGTCACTTCAACGCATAAGATGAAAATGCAAATCCATTTGATTTGAGTTAAAATTTATGCAAAGAGAACCTCCATGTAGTACCACCTGACAAATTTTATTAAAATTTTAAGTTAGTTGATAGAATAGATAAATTTAAAATATTTTTAAAAGATCCTAATTCAAAATTTGAGTTTTAAAAATTATAGAAGAAAATAAAATATTGTGGCGCAAAAAAAAAAAAAGAATTGCTAATAAACTTACCATGGTATAGTTGAATGGCACGTAAGAGGCAAAGTTGAGGAATAGTAGCTAAATCAACCGAAGGCATAACACATTGTTTGTACCAAAAAAATAATAGAGGGGCTGGAGTGAAAGGTACGCATAACACATTGTTTGAAGCAGAGACATTCTTGATGTGAATCCATAAATTAGAGGATAAAACCTTGAGAATGCAACTTGTAGCACCCCACAGTTCCATCTTGCACCTTGTAAAAATGTGTCATTCAACTTTGTTGTTGCGGTGCCCAAGAATGCTGGCCTCGGGGGATTATTAAAAAAAAAAAAGAAGAGATTTCCACCCTTTGCAGTGCAAATTAAACCCAGTAAAATAATTCTCTACCACGGAATTATACAAGAATCCAACCTGTTTTATGCTTGTAATTATATTTATGAATGTCAGTGCTTGCCTGCTTTCCCCACTGAGTTTCTTTCTCATATGTGCAGGAGGCCAAAAATCACAATAAAACAAGTTCATTAAATAATTTCATTAAATAATCACATCAACTTTCTATGCTGATTATTAATGAGTCTCCAATGTCTTTCGCACCAAAATTAAATTTTGTTAATAGCAAAGAGAATGCTTAAATTTGTCAATGAATTTTTTTTTTTTTTCAAAAGAGGCGATAGCACAATTTTAGTCATGAATCACATGTAATATTAACAATCAAGAATAAATGTGATTTTGAAAATCCTTTTGTTTAACAAGTGTTAGTATTCATCTGATAAACTGCAAAAGTTGTCCAGCTTTGCATGGCTAATGAGCAGATTTGATCCAAATGCCCAAAACAATCAAAATCCTGCTGCTTTTGGCCTTTCACCTTTTCTTTAAATGCTGAAAACCTGAATTTCACCCTCTCTTTAATATAAAGATAAAGTAGTTGTAGATTCACATGTGTTCCTCTATACCTTTCCCAAAGATAAATCACCGCTAGCTATAATAATTTTTTTTCCTTTTCAAACCTCACAAGAAAACCGCCTAAAACCCTACTTTTTCTTTCATTTTTTACTCATCTTCATTCTTCAAGAATCCTCCAAGAAAACCCAATCCCAAACAACAACCAGAAGAAGAATTCTCAAAGCCTTTCACTCAAGGAAAAGAACTTCATGGCTTATGAACAAGAAGACCATCCCAAGCTTCAATTCCCATTAGATTCAGAGTCTTACAAGATCATTGATGAAATCGGGGTTGGTGTCAGTGCCGTAGTTTACAAAGCCGAATGTGTTCCCATGAATTCAACTATTGTCGCCATCAAAGCCATTGATCTTGACCAGTCCAAGGCTGATTTCGACAAAATTCGACGAGAAACCAATATCATGTCGCTTCTTTCACACCCCAATATCCTCAATGCTCATTGTTCATTCACTGTTGACCGACGTCTCTGGGTGGTGATGCCTTTTATGTCTGGCGGTTCTTTACAATCCATAGTCTCATCTTCTTTCCCTGATGGCTTAACAGAGCAAAGCATTGCCATTGTTCTTAAAGAAACCCTGAATGCATTGTCGTATCTTCACAACCAGGGGCATTTGCATAGAGATATAAAGGCTGGTAATATTTTGATGGACTCAAATGGAAGTGTTAAGCTTGCGGATTTTGGAGTTTCAGCTTCGATTTATGAATCGAGATCAGGTTATGGATTAGGTTCATCGACATCTTCATCACCGTTGATGCTCACTGACGTGACTGGAACCCCATATTGGATGGCCCCAGAGGTAATACACTCGCATACTGGGTATAGTTTCAAGGCTGATATATGGTCTTTTGGTATAACCGCGCTTGAATTAGCCCATGGAAGGCCTCCTTTATCTCATCTACCTCCTTCAAAGTCTTTGATCATGAAGATTACCAAGCGGTTTAGATTTTCTGATTACGAAAATAGTAGCAAGAAAGGTAAGAGCAAGAAGTTTACCAAGGCTTTTATGGATATGGTTGCTTCCTGTCTTGATCAAGATCCAGCGAAGCGACCCTCGGCGAATAAACTTTTGAAACATTCATTTTTTAAGAGTTGCAAAGGTTCGGAGTTTCTTGTTAAGCATGTGTTGCATGGATTGCCTAGTGTTGAAGAAAGGTTCAGGGTAAGCAAGATTCTTAGAAAGGGTGTTAATGTCGAAGAAGATGATGAAGATGTTGATGGGGAATCAGGGTCTCAGCTTGTTAAACATAGAAGGATTAGTGGGTGGAACTTCAATGAAGATGGGTTCGAGCTTGACCCTATATTCCCTTGTGAGTCACAAAACGATTCAACTATGAAACAGGTTCGTTTTGGCGGCGAAACGATCATTCCAAAAGGTTCACGTGACTCGGCTGGATCAGGTAACTCTGGGAGGTCAAATTTAAATTCACCAGAGGCTGAGTCAAGTTTGATTAGTTTGCTAGGGGGAGTTGGGGTAGTGGGAAATGATGGTTCTCATGGTGAAGAACAGTCTGGCATTGCGGGAATTGCAGGGAATGAGTCTGGAGGTGACAGTACTTTTAATGCAGAAACAGTAGTGGGTAGGCTGATGACATTGAAAAATAGTGTGGAAGATCAAAGGCAGAAGGTGACAAATCTGATTAACCTGTTTGGAGGGGAAGTAATCAACAGAGAAGATCAATTGTTGCAGTTGATTGAGAAGCTGAAGTTGGAGTTGGAGAATGAAAGGCTAAAGAACTTTGAATTAGAGATGGAACTAGAGTTGCTCAAAATTCAGATTTCTAGTGCATCGAACACTGATGAAAACGCTTGAAGTTTAGCCAACTATTATATTTGGGAGTTGGTTGAAGACTTGAGACATTCCGGTGAAATCTCAGTGTAATGTTATGCTGTTTTCTTGCCTATTGGAACCTGTTTTTGTTCTTTGGTTCCTGTTAGTGTATTACATATCAGATGTGAAGATTTGTTCTTTAATAAGATAGTTGGGAATTAGGGACATTTCAAACAGGCCTAACCTGATTGCATCTAATGGAAGAAAATGGGAAGATTGCAGGATAATTTTTGACATTAATTAGTCATAATTCTACTTTGTTTGATGCCTTGGAACGAACTAATTGTCTCAAAATTTTCATTTCTTTGTAGAAACTTTTCTTTTGGATACACTTGCAGATGACCCAAAACATAAATAATGGTAATAATTTTATAAATCACCCCTTTGGGCTAAGCTCAAGAAAGACCATGAGCCCAAAGCAGTAACACCGTTCAGACTACCCAATTCAGGATTTTTTTGGGCCAAACCAGAAATTGAACGCTATATGTTAAACGCCTATTACTTCCATTCATTGGTTGGGTTCTCAATGGAACTAATGTACAATTGTCTTTGTTTGATGTAAATTTGTAGTTTTAGCTTTCAAAATCTAGATAAAAAGAACAAAGAGGCAAAATCTTACAAAGAAAATGATTTTAGCAACAGGCTGCCCTGACATGTGGAATAGCAGCCCAAACAAAAAAATGTATTAACATGCCAATTCCATGGATCTGCTCTGTACATTTTTTTTCCTTCTTCTTCTGGGATCAGGAGTCAGGACCTTCTTCCCCATTGGAAACTGGAATCTTCCATCAAACAAGAGCTGTGAACAGCGAATAGCAAGCCTTACCGTAATTCAGAATGCAAACGAAAAGAGTAACCAACAACCACATCTCACATCTGTCAGCCTCTCAAGTCTCAGTCCTCCACATGATTTCAATGCATATTGTAAGGCATTTGAGACTCTGCTTTCCTGTTGATACTTTCCACGTGGTTTTCAAGCAGAGAAGAAAAAGAGAGACTCAATCTGATTCAAAAGTTGATGAGACATGCAATGCAACCAAATGGCAAAGCCTGATTGATTTCCATCAGGACTTTTTCATTAACAGCTAACAAAACAAAACCAAACCACTATTCGGCCTCTACTAATTAATTACTTTCTGCACTTTTCATTTTTGTCATATGTAAACAAAGTAATTAAGCATTAAAGGTTTTGCTCAGATTTTAACGAAAAAATATACCTAATTACATCGACTTCAAATCTTAAACTATGAGTGGAAGAGACGGCAACCTGTTATACACTGTGGGTAAATGCTGCAATTTCGGCTGTAGAACCTAATGAAACTACAGCTATATTTAGCATGGCACCGGATCAGCTAATTGGCTGCTAGTCTTTCAGTAAATCTCAGCTAAATGAGGCAGTATCTTTTGTCTAAACCGGTTCTCTGATAAAACTTGTTCTCTTTTTCTCAAGAAATAAGGAAAGGAAATCATGGGGGTGCACTGGGATTTCCCTTCCTTTGAGATAATGTTGTGTAAATCAAAGCCCTTTTTTTTTTTTGAATGATATGAAATCGGCTGCAGGCATTTATCTTGCATGTGTGTTGTGCTGGAAATTATATACAGCTACTAGTCCTTTTTAGCGGTAGCCTAGCTTGCCTAGCTCCATTCCATTTTCAACATCAAAGTTCAGGAGGAACAAAAGTTGAAAAGCAAAGGGAATGGTATGACTTACGAGTTATGAGCTTGTTTTGCATTTCACCTACAATTTTTTTTATTGCAAACTTCCAATTATTAAATCCCACTAAAAAATTATATAGGGGTATATTATTAATAACCATGAGTTTCATATAAAATTTTGATGTTTCTACATAATTATAAATTGTAATTGTAGGTGATATATGTTAACCATTTTATGTCTTTCCTTCATTATTTTCTCACAATTTTTTTACCGTTTTAGCATTAATTCAGTAATATATTCTAGTTAGCATATTGTCTTAAGAATTAAGATGCATAATGGAGAAACAGAAATAAAACTGGAAAATAATGATCAAAATTTTTATATGTTCTAGATATGATCTAAAGAAAATGGAGGTTTAACTTTTGAAATATGTTGTAGTGAGCTGGCAGTTTTAACTTTCCTTCTTAAGCTTTAAATTTTCATCATTTTATATTTTTTTAATTTGTCGATTTCAGATTAAATATTTAGGAAATTATATATACATTGGACTGTATTAACATCATTAGTAAACTAGTTTATCAATTTTCCATTCCCAAAGGAATATATATCTTATTGATTAGAGTTTAAGAACTTCAGTTTGCAAGTCTTGTATAGCCAACTTTGAATCCTAAATATGGTTGACTTTTATGAAATGAAAGAGACCTAGTTCTTGTTGATTATGTATCTATAATCTAATTATATAATAAAATAATTTCACAAAAATTTGATTTGTCTAAGTTTAATTTAGAAGTATATTTGCTGCCTTGTTAATTTGTTGCTTGCTTTCAACTTATAATGTAAGCTTCTTTTAAATCACAATAATTATGATTTTTTTGCTATCAACAATAATTATGAACTTAATTTTTATTAATATTCTATTTGATGAAGGACTTGTAACACCTTTTTTTTTTTTTTTGAGTAATCGATGAAGAACAATATATACAATATTCCTTTATTTGATTTGGGAACTATGATCATATTACTGACATAAAGAAAAATTTTGATCATAGAGGAATTTATACAATATTCCTCAAGTTTCATGACTACTATTGAACTATTGATGAATGATTAAGGCATGTGTTGGTATTAAGATTGCTTGTAATGCCTTGATGCTTATTAATGAATCTATAATACTGACTTGGCAAAAAAAAAAAAAAAGATATTAAGATTGCTTGATCATCCATGGTGATCGATTCAGCAATCGTATCATTCAATTTGGCATAGATAGTTGTATACTGAACCATTTGCAGACATTCAAATTTACATTAATTGTAGTTATAGTACTTGTTGTCTATTGGTCCAGATATGGATGAGAATCATAACTTGTACTCCCATTAGCCCCCTAATTAGGTTCTGATAATCAATGAACCTTCTGGAAACATTCAATACACAGAATTTTTGTTGTTAATTTACTAATTTATTTTCCCTTTTCCCTTGCAAAAGCTAAGAAATTAACCATGGATATCAAGCTCGAGGAAGAATCAAGTATTATTTTTTTCTCTTTCCTCTGACCTTCTCTGATTTTGACCAATGGCATCTGGCCAGGTTCTATTTCACATTGTAAGGTGTCCATCAACTGATCTCATCTCCTAAATTTGTTTGGAACAGTGCAAACTTAAAACAATTCAAAATAGTCGGAGAGATTTTTCTTCATATGGAAAAAAGGCAAAACATGGCAGGCCGAGATTCTACATATAGTAATTAGTGATCACACATATAGATGGATACCCTCCAATGAGATTTTCAGCTTCTGGCTTAGAATTTGATGGCCTGTTTCTTGCAACTTTAATCACTTTCTTCTCTGAGACCGAGAACCCAACTCCATTTCATCACCATATATCTCAGGTATCAGTTACTTCTAATTAATTTCGTCTCTCTATTTTTCCAGTCTTAACTTTAGAGAGATGGGGTTCTTTTGTTTCTTTCTAAATTGAAATGATATAAGCTAGACTGTTCTTGTCTTTTTGATCATGCTAGGTCTGACTCAACCAAAAAGAATCCATGGAGAGGAACAGTTTTAGTAACAGCTTGAAAGACCATAGTATTGGCAATAATGCCATTAAAGATAGCAGCAACACCCAGAACAACTACAAGCTTAAGGATTCATCATGGAGCAGTAGCAATCAAGGTTTTGGAGAAGATTATCTAGCTGGGTTTTCATGGCCACCAAGATCTTACACTTGCAGCTTCTGCAAGAGAGAATTTAGATCTGCTCAAGCTCTGGGTGGTCACATGAATGTTCACAGGAGAGACAGAGCCAGGTTAAGAGAGTCACCTCCAAGGGATCATGGTCAGCCCCCTTTTCTGAACCTTAACCTCAACCATAACCCTAACCCTAACCCTAATTTCTCTTCTTCATCCTTTGTTTCTTCTCCATTCTCTTCCACATTACCTTCCCTGCTTGTTTCTCCTCCTCAATCTTCTGCTTTCCCTTGTGAAATGAAAAAATGGCTAGTGAAAGGTACCCTCATCGATCCTTTGAGCTCAAATGGCACGGATTCGAGCAGCATAAAGGGTAAAAAATCATTTTTTGGAGTCAAAGAATTCAAAGATTACGGGTGTAATAATAAGTTCCTGAAGAAGAAGACTGAGTATGTAGATTTGGACTTGGACTTGGAGATTGGTCTGGTTAGTGATTCCAAGGAAGATTTGGATTTGGAACTTCGTTTGGGATACTCTTAATTACATGAATTAGTTGCGGACAAATATTCAAAGACTGGGTGTTTTCAATTTGGCAGATTATTCACCAGTCTCTGATCATTTATAATTATAAGCTGCATTTTTTTTCCATGCACCGGGAAATCAACTCAATCATGAAGCTGCCAAATGCTGCACATATATGTTTCTATCAGTTGCTTAAATGTAAGAATATTATAGCTTAATGCCGGCATGTTCTACTCTCTCATCACCTCATCATCCCCTCAGCATTCCACTACACTAGGAATCTACCATGTAGTAGTATATAACTATATATATATATATATATATATATATATCTAGCACATATTGACAATTTAGTTAAATGTTTAAATGAAGCATATGCTTTTGGTTTCATAACATTGGACATCTTTTAGCTAAGAAATTAAAAGCATCTTGTTTATTAATTTTGTATGAACATTTCAAGGATTTCTCTATTTTATTCTGTTTGTTAATTTTATCCTTTTTTTTTCTTGTTGGCTTTAGTTATTAACGTTGTTGGTGTGTAGAAAGACTCTTGTTAGGTTGACTGTGTACTTAACAACAAAAACAATTGGTTTAATCAAATTTTAAAAACAAAAAGTAAAAAAGTTCAAGTGGTCAGTTTCTTTCTTGTAATTGACCTACTTAGAAGACAAAAACTGATGATGGTTTAGTAGAGAATAAACCAAAGAAAATATGAGGAGAACTTGCATGAAAAAAATTATATCTTAAAATGTTTTTTGGGAAAAAAAAAAAGAGGCCATGGATGGTCGATTGCTGGTTAGAAAAGACAACTTGCTCAGAGGTGAGGAACATATAAAACCAAACCCTTCGTCCCAAAATATATATATATATATATATATGTATATGAAGAAAAAGAAAATACTGGCGCCTAACCAAAAAGAAAGGTGAGCTACAAATTGCTTGATAGTTGACAAAACAATTGAAGCTAAACGGTAACTAAACACAAAGAAAGAAGAAAAAGATGAAATAACAAGATAAAAAGAAAAAAGGTCAAGATAATTGTGTGTTTTAGTACGAATCTTTGTTTTGATTCGATAATTCATTTAGTTTGTGATCTTACAAGTTAGAACATAAGCAAATTAACAAGAGATCCTATGTAGACATGTTTCCTTTTAGTAGATTATGTTAAAAGGAAAGCATGAGAGTTATAATTTGTGTTGGAACGCTGGTGGAGGCATATTGTTGTATTATTGAAAATAAAGAGTGCAAGTAAAATAGGGAAAATTGACTTCCAGGAACTTTTTGAGGAAGTCATTTTCCATACATTCACTTATACTCTGCATTATTTACAATCAAGATAGCAGATATCATTATTGGAACCAAGTTCCAATACCCACATGAGTGTCTACTGACCACAACCCATAATGCCAATTTCATTACTTTCAACCTTTTTGACAAATTATATTTGAGAATTCAAAATAAACTCAAAACGTTAACCTTTTTTTTTTTTTTTTGAGATTTTATGTACAAAGTTATAATCACAACCAAATAATATTTTATATATTTATGTCATAATTAACATAATATGAAAAAGTTGAAAATTATTTTATATATAATTGAACTGAATTAACTCGTGGCAAGACTTAAATCACGGAGTAAATGTCTAGATCTAAATCCATTAGAATTTTCTGAATTCGTTAGGTTTGACATATATAAATCTAATTGAATTGGCCTAAAAAGGAAATATAATGGACAAAACCCAAGAACATTTTGATCTTCAACCCAAAAAATATGAACTTTATTAAAGGTTGCAAAAGTTAACCCAAAATTTGTTAGCATATAAAAGACAGTAACATCCTCTTTCTAATTCTTATTTTTGCACCTCTGTGAGAACATATAGCTGATTGCAAATATATAAATTTAATTAAGTGGAGGATATATATACTAATTACTCATATCTATTTAATGATAATATAAAGCACTCTACATAAGCAAAAATGTTGGTGAAGTATTGATAGTGAATTGAATGTCAGCTCCAACAGAAGTTCTCATCCAAAGGAAAAAAAAAAAAAAAAGAAAGAAAGGGTAAAAAAAAAAAGCAATCATAAGTTTTAAATATAATAATGACTGCTGCTTCACAAGATATCTAAGAATAAACCAAAGGAAGATTTTTCTCAGACAAAAGTTGCAAGTTTTTGGAAGCCCTTGGGATAGTGAGTACAAAAGTGATAAAATGAGCAATTGAATTGAGAAGTTACATAGTATAAGAAGTCATGAGTGAATGATGGATTGAAGATAAAAATTGGAGCAATCTCTTTCATTCACATACTGATAATATACCAAAATGGTTGCCATGTCAAAAGGACATAAATAAAAATATGCTGATCAATGACTCTGAGAGAGAGAGAGAGAGAGAGAGAGAGAGAGAGAGAGAGAGAGAGAAAGAGGGTTTTGTGTGGCTTTGGAGGATTCTTTGGATGCTTTTCCCAAAATCTGATGGTTTGCATGTTCCCGACAATGTCTGGGTGTCAAATGGTATGATGGCTTTTCCTTAAAGGGAATGAGCGGTTTATGGTCAGTTCAAAGCATTACAGACAACTGATAGACCCAAACTCTTTCCCAAAATGGCATTCAGTCAGGACACAAACACTAACATATATACTTACAAACCACTCCCTTCCCCTTCCCCCAATCTCCTCTTTACCTCTGTCATTTCATTTCATTTACACTTCATGACTACTATTTCTCAATCTAATTCACTTTTTATATATCTACAATTAAATGCATATGATATGACAGCCCTCTTTTTTATGGATTGGGCACTCATTTCTCTCCTCTTTCTTACGTACACCACCTAATCGTAATCCTTTTCATGTGCAACAAGAATTTAACCAAACATGCATGATATAAGAATATTGTGGGAATCTTAATAAATTAATTAAAAATAAATATTTGTTTTTCACAAATTGAAAATAATAAAAGTTTTAATGATTCATACACAAGGAGATATCCATGACTTTATATTCTTTTTGTACTTGAGATTGCAAAAATTTAAATCCTAATTATTGATTCTAACATTTTACCAACAAATCAATGCAATCGTTAATAGTGACTATACGTTTTTGTCGTGCTATATTATATTCTTGTTAAAGTAGTTTAAATACTTCGGAAAAAATTAATTTAATGCATTATTTTCATAAAAAAATTAAAAATATATATTAATTATATTTTTCTTAAATATCACCTTAATCCTTTTAATCCTTTTGTAATGATACTAATTAATTAACATTTCTCATACTTAAATTGAGTATTGGGGTGTAAGCCAAATGTCATATAAATTAATGTACTCCGACATAAAGCATAGATAAAGTTTTATAATAGGAGGTATATATATATTTGTGTATATGCGTATAATATATGTATGTGTGTGTATATGTATGAATTAGTATTTTGCTTGCACGTTGATGTGGGGCTAGAAGAGTAAAATTTTTTATTTCAATAAAATTTAGTTTATGAAAAAACATTATCTATTAAAATATTATATTATTTTGAAAATTTTAATATATACATATATGATTCTAATTATATTTCATTAATATCATAATTCTATCAATAGTGATAATTTTAATAATGAAATAAAATTAAAATTAAAATTAAAAATTGAATAGATTAAAAGTAATTATTCATAAACTACATAATTTATATCATAACCATACTTGTAAGCGTAATTGATATATTTTATTATTTAAGATATTTATATTTTATTAACAACTAACTTGCTCATAATAATATTTTTGCTATAAAAAATATATAAATTTTATGTTATCAAATTATTCATTCGCAAATTTTGATTCAATTATTAATAACAAACATCACAACTTATATTATATTTGGCCACATTTATTTGAGTGACTATACAAGTATATATATATATATATTTTAACATTGTGTAAAACATATCTAGGATTTAAAATTATTTCAAAATACTAATAATTAATATTAATTGAATATTTTAATTTTATTGATATGATTTTTATAAATACCTAATTTTATTTGAATCGATTCGATTTTGTTTAATTTTATGCTTGATTTAAATATTTTGATTTGAAACAATTTAAGCATTTAAATTGAATTGAATTAATTTAAACTTGTTCTGGATTGACCATTTTACATAGGCCAAAACTCAATCCAATTTAATTAGGGTTAATTTTAAATTAAATCATATGAGCTTAAAAGCTCAAAGTTCAAGATTGAATTTTAAAGCTCAAAAACTAAAAATTCAACATTTGATATTAAGGCTCAATTTTATTTATTTTTTGGATTTAAGTACTTTTATTAATTGATAAATTATAAAAAAAGAAAAAAAAAAGTTGAAGCTTGGTCGGCCATTGGGAGTCTATCATTTTTTTGTGGACCACCATTCCTCACTTTTTTGGCTACACCACCATTTGTAGCTTTTTTTTTTACCACCTAATTTCACCTTGATTCACTTCTAACAAGGATTGATCAAAGACACATAACTTTCACACCTATAAAAAAATTTTCAAAACATTGTTGCACTTCTGCAGCAACCATCTAAAAACCAACTTCCTGTGAGAGGATTGAATGTTGTTTTCTACCAAGGACCTTAAAAAAGAAAATTAGCCCTCGGCCTCCAAAAGTCTCCCTTTACCAGCCGAGCCCAATACTAGCCCTTCCATCCCCACAATATAGTTCCAAAAACCACCATCATCAATTCACCATAAAACTCTAATCACAGGCAAGTCAACCCACTCTACCTCACAAACTAGCTAAAGCTGTCTACAGCCACGTAAAACACCATCCACCATAGCCATCAAGAACAAACCTTTACCAGCACCCAAAAATCACTTTCCTCATCACCAACGTCCCTAATCAATGCCAGAGGCCATTCAAATCAACCCATTATCAGTCCTGAACCAAAAGACCCCAACCACCACTAAAAACACCGAGAACAACCCCCTCAAATTTCCATAATCGACTAGCTGTATCCACCACTTCCTACCACCATTACCAGCTTC